CTGATCTTCATCCCGTGCTCGTGTCTTATTGCGTGACCAGTCCTTTCCTGTCCCATCTCCTGCCAGTTACTTGGTGTCTCACATGACTGCCAAAGTTTCGCTCTTGCCCTTTGTTTTTTAATCCTGCAACTTCCAGCCTGCTATGGTATTTCATTTTTTCAGTCTTTTCAAAGATTTTTTTCAATCTGTTTCAAAGACACTGTTACAGTGAATGAGTTGACACATAAATCTGGTTAAAAAATTCTAGGTTTAAACTGACGAGTAAATTTAAAGGATTATCTTTATTGATTATCTTTATTCCCACCATTTAGAGCTCTTTTCTATAAGTTCTTTAGAGCTCTGATTATGTCATGACTGACTGATGACTAATCCTGCAAAAAGGAAGAGTTTTCACTTTCTTTGAAAGAAGAAGCCAAATGGAGGCATTTTCTTTTGCACTAAAATTTGCAAAATTTTTCTGGTTTGTTTTCATTTTATGAAAAACATATGAAATCTATGAGAAGTACTGTACAAGTTAATAATAACTTTAGGTGGGCTCTGTTTTGTAGAGCAAAGTTTGAAAGAGTAACACTAGTATAAACAGCTCTCTCATTCTCTCTTTGTAATACTTCACCAAGATGATGTCTGGGGTAAGGTGTGGCCATTTCTAGGCAGAATGGTTCTTCTAGATTTTACTTGGGTTTTGTGTGTTTTCAGGAATATGTTTTTATTGCCTAATACTGAAATTGCTAGTTGGAGGAGCTTGTGACATGTAGTTTTAATTTAGTGTTCCAGCTTTTGTAGTACTTCTTGTTCACTTCATAAACCTTAACTGCTTCTCCAGTAAAATTCTGCCTTGGATGACCAAGGCAGGAGAAGGAGCTCACCAGCTTCATGCCCTGTTCCTCTGTCCAGCCTTCCTTACTGTCCCAGCCCAACAGCATAACTGAGACATTCCTTTGGGAAAAGGTTAACTTGGATTCCTGCAGTCCCAGCAATTTCACACAGTTCCTCTTCTGTAACAATCATAAATGTACTAGACAAGATGGTCTGATAAGGAAGTCTACTAGGACTCTTCTTCATTGCATCTCAAATCAGGAATGGTGACTGTTCAGCTGGTTTTAAAGATGGCATAAACGTCTGCCAAGAAAGGTAACTACCAACAAAAAAAGAAGATTGCCCCTCTTGGGAGATGGTAAGAAAGTGGACTGCTTTATTTTCTGATATTTTCCTTTAGCACTTCTGATTTGGAAGATCTGTGTTTCTAATACATCAGGAATTGAAACCAGTCACCAGAAAAAAAGCTTGAAATGCCCTTTCTTAGTGGAAGACTTCACAGTTGTTAAGTGTTCCCATTTTAAGGAATAGTTTCAAAAAGCAAAGCCCGAGGGTTAAAACAAGCTCTTTTACCTCTTTTTACACATGATCCAAGAATCTAAGTCACTCAGCAAACATGCCATTCTGCAAGTGTCTTATTTTCTTTCCACAGAATTTCAAAAGCCCTGTGGGAAGTGCCATTTATGGAATATAATTGATATGGATGCTCTTCTGAGACTATTTTTGTTGTTATGTTTCAAGATAAAAGCATAAATAAATACATATGCCTTTTGCAATGTGTTGTAGCTGAAAATTAAATATTTTTCTACTCAAATTTTGGCATATTTCCTGGAATCACTGAGCTTTCAGTAACATTTTTAGTTAATATTCTGCAGCCTACTGTTGTATTCACTGCAGCTGACGTGAGCTCAGAGAGTTTGTCTTTATTTAACCTTAGAGAGGAATCCCAGGCTTGCTCTGTAGTTGGCAGAGCTGTTGGTAAGGATCTGCTCTGGACCACAGTGGAAAGAGTACGGACAGGGTCCCACTCTGAATCATGTCCACTACAACCTTACTCCATTGGTGATACTGAAAATCCTGCAAAATAAGTGAAGTTAGCCTTTGTCAAACTGATTAATATTTTCTGTCATTATCCATCCCTTTCCTTCTCTGTCTAATATCTTGATGAATCCTGTTGCTTAAGTCCTGCATCGCACTGATTCTCGTGATGTTTGAAGTTGAGGGCACTGATTAGGACAATTTTTTTACCTGTAAAATACATATATCTGTGTAGAGGGTGTTAAAAAACATATAAAACTCCAATGAGAGTAAACATTCTGTATCACCTTTGCTCTCTGGAGACAATTGCATTGGGAGGGGCAGGGAGGAAGATGTTTCATCTAAAAGTCAGAGCTTTTAAAGATACTGATTCTGATTCTTTGCTCTATTACACGTTTTTCACACTGATATACTTCCACAGGGCTGCTTCATCTCATTCTTGTTAGCTACTAACAAGTAAGAAGAATCTAAATGACTTTTGGCATTAAGGACAGAGGAACAGAGAACAGCAAACCTTTCAGTTTGATTGGTAATCTTACAGTTACTTGTTTATAATAATTTAACTGATGAGGTTGACTGTTACTGAGCTAATTATTACTAAGTACAGTTTTAAGATAGTAATTACCCTCAAAAGTTAGTATTTGCTATGTTAGCCGTTAGTATTGGAGGTAACCTTAATGTTAGCAATATTTATGCCAGGAAATAAATGCTTGTCTTTATTTGCCAGTAAATAATGGCACTGAAATTACATGAAATATTATGTATTGATTTCTCTGGATTCAAGTCTCTGTAACTACCTTATGTCATTAGTGTTTGTTTTCCCCCCACATGAAGGAACAAGGTTAAGGGCAACTTGATGAAGTAGCACCACTCCAGTGCTAGATTTATTATTTGAGTGTGTGAAAATTCTTGAAAATGTGTAGCTTATCAAACTGAGCCTGGTTTCAGTTGTAGATTTTACTAATAGTGGAAGGAAATTTCCATTGTTAGAAAAATCTGGAGGCCTCCTCTCATGCTGACTTCTCTGAAAATGAAGAAGTGGGATGCTGGTCCATGATAGAATGTATAATCAGCATGAATCACAGTGAAGATATGCAGGGGTTGATTTACAGCCAGTATCTGCAAAGTGAGCTGCAGGGCTTAGTTTGCAAACACTATTGTGAACCAAACCCTGTGGGGTTCAGTTTGCAAACACTATTGTGAACCAGACCTTGCAGGGCTTGCCGAGCTCCAGTTACTGCTACTGCTCCTAGTAAGGCTTATTATCCTGTCACAGAAGATGTAAGAAAATCCATCTCTCGCCTTTAAACTTGATAAACCTTTGTCACCTACAATGCAATTAATGTTAAAAATAGAAGAGTGCTGATGATAAGATTGTGACTTGCAGGCAATGAACCATTGTCCAAGTACAGGAGACTTATCTGGAGGGCCAGTCAGCCTGCACCGTTTGCTGTCAGTTTGCTGATTGCCATTTCTCTCCGGGTTTGATGAAATATTCATGTCTTTGCTCTGCTCTCTGCAAGCACTATTGATTTCTTGTATAAACGCAGCTATATTTAGTCTAGACAAATGGAATGTGGATTGCTGCTGAATAAATGGGATGAAAGGCTGGGGGTTTGCCTGTATGTCTCTCTTGGTCGGTAGCAATTATTTATAATCAAGAGTAGTTTTTGTAAGTTAAAGGTGATTTTTTATAATTTGTTTCAGAACAAAAGTAAGCACTTAGACACAATCGTTCTGTTGGGATAGAGGGTTAAGAAGGTGAGTTACACTCTGAGGTTTACAATCATAGTTATTAGGATTTTTTTTTTAAAAAAGGGGGCCAGAAAATTGTATATTTTCAGAATTTTGAGAAGAAAAAAGTATGATCAGTAGAAGAGATTTTATACCTTTTCTTTTTATAAATTCTTTTACTAATAGATTTGATCATACAGTTAGAATTCAGTTCTTTCCATTTGCTGCAGTTTCAACTTTTATAGCTTCAATTTTGCTGCTTCTGCTTGCTAAAATATTTCTGTTTCATTTGGTTTTCTCCTTGAAAACAAGTACAGATGAAGAAGAAAAAAAGGAGAAAATATGTTTGAAATCTTGTTCCAGAGTAATTTCCGACAACATGTTTGTTTTCAATTAATAATCTTATTTTCCAATGAAGATAGGGGAGGAAGAGAAACTGGAGAGAATGTGTTTGTGTTCCACTGTCCTCTCGTGGATGGAATCAGAACTGCTGAGCTTTAGCAGAGACCTTCAGCTACTATTTATTTTTCTCTTGTAGAAATGTTACTTGCTAGTTTTTTTGTTCTTCTGCAACAGGTAAAATTACATTCAGTCACTTCACTTAATGTGAAAACCAAAGCTTTACAAGTATTGTAGTGAAAATTATCAAATCTCTCTCCCTTCTGCTGCTTTTTAGTCCCTTCTATTTAAATTAGGAGATAGAAAAATAAGAATTCTTCATTAAGTACTTTAATGCTGGATTAACAATACATAACATAACTACAAAAAGTTGGAATAATTCAAGATGTTGTTGTTTTCTTACAAGCCACATATAGTGTATTGTGTCTAATCCACTTCAAGCATGGTGGTCATTTTTCCAAAAGCTGTATTAAAACTTGTTTTGTGTGTGAAATTATTTTCCTGTAATGTTATATGTGTTATTCCTCTGTGTTTGCCAGGTGTATTTTTATGCAGTAGGTATGTGTAACACCAACCTTAAAAAATCTACACACTAGTTTTGAAAAATGTCTTGCAATACAGTGAGAATGGCAATGCCTTCATCTTATGCTGAGGAAGTGCCCTGAGTGTTTATTGTGTAGTATTAATAGTACCTAGGAGATTCTAATGAAGTATGACTCCACTAGGCTATGACATGGGTTTAGAACAGGGCTGCTGGTTAGTCTGTTTAGCAGAATATTAATCTGTGAGTATTTTAACAGGGAATGGAAAGAAAGTGCTGAATAATTTGTAAAATCTCCAGTCGCTGGTAGGAATGTCTAAAGTTTGCACACAGCAGAGGTTGCATTAATGTTTTAAAAGGCCTGTATATTGAATCAGTCTTTGAGTGAAATTGGTCTTTTTCCTGGTAGGAATGATCTCTATTCTCCTTCTCCAGTTATATTTAATATATATGTTTTTTTTTCTTCCTCCAGTGGATGTAAAGTCAGAGGTTCCCGTGGGGTTAGAGCCTATCTCACCATTAGACTTGCGAACTGATCTCAGGATGATGGTTCCCATGGTGGACCCAATTATGCGTGAAAAGCAGCTACAGCAGGAACTACTCCTGATCCAGCAGCAGCAGCAAATTCAGAAACAACTGCTGATTGCAGAGTTTCAGAAGCAGCATGAAAACCTGACCCGCCAGCATCAGGCCCAGCTCCAGGAGCACATAAAGGTAGCAACATTTTTCATTTATCCCTCACTTTATCTGCAAACTGAATATCCTTAGGCAGACATGAAAAGGGAACATGCCTGAAAGGTTTGCTGTGACTGAGAGGTGGTGTTGGAGTGCTTCTTTCTCTGTACTGGGGTGATAAATGCCTTTTCAAACCAAACTCCTAGCACCTATCAGTGACTTGCCCGCAGCAGACCGAGGCAGTACTATGAGGATCATCAAGCTCATGAAGCTACCACAACCACAAAAAAATCAAACTATCTATTTTACAACCTGAATTTTCAGCCAGACTTCAATATGGCTGTCTTTCGATATGTGCAGTTTTTAGTATATTAAAGACTTTTTGGGGGGCTACTGTGTGAGTTTGTGACAAAAAATCAAATGTAGGCAAGTGCATAGTATTTGCATTTGGAAAATGGAGGCAGGCCCTGAAAGTGTCATGTTTTCACTCTTCTCTGATCTGCCTCATAGAATATAAAAAGGAAATGATTTATGGGATTGCATGCACTGTGGTGGGCTTACTATAATGGATTTTGACTGGGAATTTATGATCTTGCCTTTCTTTTCATTTTTCCTTCTTATCTACTTGCCATTATGCTGCTGTGCTAAGCTTCCAGCGTGTGGGGCAGCCAGAGCTGGGTGATGCACAGGCAAAAAACACTGTGCAGTTTCCAGGCATCTTTGCTGAAAGAGGGAGAAGTGAAACCAGAGCAGCAGGCTGCTTCCTGACATTAGAGTTCATTTTAGTGACAGCCATGTCACTATCCCGCATAATGCAGCATATCCATTCATATCCAGCATAATGCACTACCCTGCTTAAAAGACTGGGGAAAATCAGTTAAGAGATGAAAAGAAGTGTAAGCAGAAAGCAAGCACCAATCCACAGATACTCAAGGGGGTTGTTTTAACCAGGACTGACCTAGAAAACAGTGCAAACTGCACTTTCTCATGTCTTTTTGTTCTGTGCAAGTTACAACAGGAACTCCTAGCCATTAAACAACAGCAAGAACTCCTTGAAAAAGAGCAGAAACTGGAGCAGCAAAGACAAGAGCAGGAACTGGAGAGGCATCGCAGGGAGCAACAGCTTCCTCCCCTCCGAGGCAAAGAAAGAGGACGAGAAAGTAAGAACCAATGTACCATGAATCCTAATAAGAAATTAATCTATTCCCCTTTGCATTCTCCCAGCCAAAATGGACTATGAACAGGAACCTGAAGGAAGCCTATTACTGTGTGAAATACGCAGCTTGACAAGTCGAGGCTGTGCTTGGAGAAGGGCAGGGCCACCCACTGCACCCACAGAAACACATTTCTGTTTTGTGTGCAGACTTGGAGGACCAGCGGAAAGCACAGTTTGACAGACCTGTGTATATGCTTCTCAAGAATCTAGCTCTTCTTATAAAAATTGAGGGAATTTGAAAGCCTAAAGCTTCATACGAGAACTTTTTTCTGAAGAGCTTATTTCTTAATACAGAAAGCACTACAAAAGAGCAAAAAATCAAATTGCTTGCTGATTAACTTATTTAAGCATTGTGTCAAGATTGAAAATACAATGAAATATTTAATGATTTGGATGAGACTTCTGAATACTTTTGCTAGTACTTTTACTTTTTCAAACTGCTTGGCTTTGTTCTTGATGCCATTTCATGAGGCCCAACCAAGAGCTGTTTGTAGCTTATATATAGTTTTAAGGAAAAAAAGCCAGCTATAAAGGGTTGGTGGGATTTGGTGCTCACTAGAGGGAGACAGATACAAATAGTTCTCCTTAGTGAGGCCAGTCTAAAAATCAGGTTGAAGTACAGTGTGAAGGTATTCAAAATGAAGCTGCCACAAACAGATACTGTTACTTGCCCTAAATGAGCACAAGAACTGTGACAAAGACCAAAGCAGAATGAAGCTGTACAACATGAACCTGGAAAAATGTATCAGTTCAACAGTTATAAGGTGTCCATGGTTCTTCCAGTACTTTGACGAACAGTGAGCCCATAAAACATCACCAGCATATTGACCCAGAAGTGTGAGGGTGGTAGAAACTGCAGGAACAAAAGGTTCCTCTAAGTGGTATGAAAAATCAACCTCCCCATAAACAGTTGGGCTTTATTAGTGCTCCTGCCAGAGGAAGAGTGGAGATGTGAACTCAATGGTTCCCTTCTCAGTTTGACTTGCTGTTCAGTTTGTAGCAGCCAGCCAAGCAGCTTGTGACACCTCTGGGCCCAGCCCCAGCCCCAGTGTTGGTTGTTGCTGATGTTCTACTTAATGAGTGGAGAAAAAAAGGAAGGTTCAGGGAAGGGATTTAGGGTGTGAAGCCTAGGGGTATTTTATGGGAACTGGGTCCCAGGGGGACATGCGCAACAGCTAGCTGTGGTGTATCAGGGTTGGGTTACCAAATATATGGAGTATCAAGTATGCCTTACTGCTGCTACTTTCAAAGAAATGGGTTTTCTCCCCCCCCCCCCCCCCTTTTTTTTTCTTTTTTTGTCACTGATTGTGGAAAATCAAAAGATTTTTCTTTTTCATACTTTTTTTTTAAAATGAAGAGTATTATGGCTGTGAGTAAAGAAGCATGTCCTGTGCTGCAAGTAGGAGTTGGAAGTTTAACCTTACATTGACATGCTCTACTTCTTGTTCTGTATTGAGCTAGCCACCAAGAGAGGTCAAAATGCACTATCTTCTGTCTTCCAGACATTATGGGTACAGGCTTTTAAGGGGCTTCGGTAGAAAGTCTCACTGCTGACTCTTTCTGCAGTGTTCTGTTCATAATCAAGACAGTGTTTAGAGGGCAGTTTACTGTGTTGTTACTATTACTTTACAAAAAGAAAAAAACGTTCTTTACTGCAAACTCGAAGTGACCTTTTGTCACTGTCTTTTTAGTTCTATCCTTGGTTTAGTATTTGGGAATTATTAGGAAATAATTTAAATTCTTTAGATACATCTGGCCCTGGATAAATGGCCTCCTCTACTGTTGAAATATTTCTTATGACTTCACTGGAGTTTGGGATTATGGCCAATTTAAGGCTTCAACAGACAAACATATAATCCAAATGTTATCTCATTTTGACTGATTTCCACCACTATTTTTTATGGTATACAACACTTCCAGCAACAAGACACAGGCTCTGTTTAGGGTTTTGTTTTCTTTAAAAAAGTAATTTTTTTGAGATAAAATACATTTAATTCTGTGTGTCTCAGGGGCAGTGGCCAGTACAGAAGTGAAGCAGAAACTTCAGGAGTTCCTGTTGAGTAAATCGGCAACAAAAGACTCTCCGGCAAATGGGAAGAATCATTCCATGAACCGCCACCCCAAGCTCTGGTACACGTATGTTCAGTATTAAGCTGCTTCCTTGCCTTGTTGAGATATCAGTTAAAACTTGCCAGAATGCTTTTGCAGCAGGGTTACTGAGCCTCTGCCTCCAGAGCAAGACAGAAGTTTAATGAAAAAATCATCAAAAAGCCATAAGTGTTATATTTCTGGTTAAACTGAGCACTCAGTGTTCAGTGATGAGAAGAGAGCTCCACAGAACAAGATTCTTTTTTATTTCAGCTGCTTCATTTTTTGATGCTATCACAAATACCTGTAATTTTTCCAAGTATCTTCAAATTTTACAGTTAGGACAACTTTGTGTTTCACTTACTTGGATTTGGAATCAATCACAAAACTTATTTCTTCTTGAAGAGATGCTGCTTTGATTCCAGTGAAGTTCCTTGAATGGCATAAGTAACTCAACGGGATTTTGAGAAAGATAGTGGTCATTTAATTTTTCTTATTCTGATGGATTTTAGTGTCTGAAACCACATATTCTTTTCATGCCTTGGTCTTGATAAGAATCTGCTTAGACCTTCAGGCAAGCGATTTTGTTGTCCTGCAGTGGGCCTATTAACATGTTAAGAGTTTACAGTTTTGCAGTTTTTATTCTCCCCCCCCCTGTTTTTTTTTAACTTATTAGTTCCTTTTTGACTGTCCTATTGCAACAGACACATAAGTCAATCCTACAAAATGAACTCTGGCTACATTTCTGAAAGGCTTCAATGTTATGCCTAAACTGACCTTCAATAGGACAAATGGAAGTGCATATGGTATGCTAGATTTCCGTCTTGTGTTTGTTCTTTTTGAAAAGGATTACTGAAGGCCTGCCCATGGAGTTTCCACTCTGAGCGCTGTAGTATCATGATTTAATGTATTGTTACATTGTCTTTGGTGCAGATACAATGCTTACTTAATTTTTTTCTTCCACATAGTGTGTAAAATTCTCTTGAATATGTAAGTTTTCTGGACTAATAATCTGAGCTTAGTTCTGAGTCTTCAGATGAGTGGGAACGAGGAGCTTTGCAGAGCATGTCTTCAGCTACACTGCAGAAAGTAGTCCTTCCTCTCATGGTAGTGCCCCTTTTGACAGAGACATGGTATTAACTACACTGTGTTAGAAAGACAGGGAGAGTCTGTAAAAAACTGAGTAAAATTATGTTTTGATAAACAAAAGTTTGAAAATTTCCCTCCTGTCCCTCTCTCCCCAACTCTAAATAAAAAAATCAACCAAAAAACCCAACAAAACCAACCAAACAAAAAAACCTACCAACCCCTGAGCGAACTATGCAATTTCTATGCAATTTGCAGTTTCTGCATTCGGAAAGATCTGCCCACACTATTTCTTTCATCCAGCAGTTGTCAGAAAACACTCTTCAGCGTGGAGCTTCTCTGCTGACATGAGTGCTGTGCGCTTCAGAGTGATGTGCTCATAAAACTTACAGGTTGAATTTAAATGCAAGATTTTATCTACCTTGTACACTAAATAGTTTATTTGTATTTTTTCACAGATAATAATAATTCAGTATGTCTGGGTAATTTTATACAAGCCGCCCCATCCTGAAAATCCCCCACATTTTGATAGGGGAGGCTTGATCAACACATCTATTTGTACGTGATAAACAGGACTTAAATGGCTTTTGCTGTGTGTCAGCTGATTCATATTAAAATGCAACCATCTGAAATGGTCAATTCCCCAGACTGGTGACAGATCCTGTCTGTAGGTCAACATGACTCTTATCCTATGTGACTTTTATAATGAGTGCAAAAAGTGCGTTCTTGGGAATCCCAAGGAGTTCCATAACTTACTGTAAGAGTGAAATTGGTTACATGAGCCTGTGGTTTGTGCACACTTACACGAACAAGAACATAAACACAGCTGGGACATATGTACAACATGTGTAGATAGTTACTGCTGGTCACCTCAGTGACTGCTAATTTGTGACCTCTCTGTGTCTGCTGCAGGGCTGCCCACCATACCTCACTGGATCAAAGCTCTCCACCCCTGAGCGGGGCCTCACCACCATACAAATACACTTTACCAGGAGCACAGGATGCCAAGGATGATTTTCCACTTCGTAAAACGGGTGAGTTAGCATAGTTTATTCGAACCCCTTGCCCAGCAGTTCTCCCACCCTTTATTTCAACCAGGCTGTCCATCAGCAAGGCATATACCATATTCCACAAATCCTATTCAGGATGATACTATGGGTAAGTTCAAAGATCCTGGCTGCATCTTTACAAGGTCACACTGACCACATGGTATCAAGAGTCAGTGTTTCTCAGTGCTAACATCTAGTGCAAGCTTCGGTCCTGATAAATTCAGTTTCTAAACAGACCACAATTTCAGGGAGGTATATTTTCTTTGTCTCAGTATTACTTCTGGCTTTAGCAACTCTCTCTGTCTTGCATGGTAGATACAGTATCTATCTCCAGACAGTTTTCTGCCATTAGACAGTGTTTTTTCAGGGCAAATCATGGAAAGAGGAGGAATTGGATTAACATTCTATTTTGTGTCATTGGTTGTCAAAGTTTGTATACGTATGTGCATATACACACATTTGCATGTCTTCTTATGCACAGGAATGTGTAATATTTTACAATGTTCTTTTGAAGGTTTCTAAATATTTTAGAAGATTTAGCAATTAAATGTTTTGTATTGACAGCAGGTGAACTGTAGACTTGATGTTTTTGCACCATAAAGAAAGCTAGAAGGATGGCGGTGGAGTCCATGAGGCTGTTGCCTCAGGTCCTTGGTGCAGTGACTGGTATCCAGGAATGCAGAGAGACACTCAGAGGAGGTGGGGGGAAAGGAAAAGAAAACATTAGATCGCTTATTGCATGGGTCTGCTGTTGAGTGATATAGTTACATTCAGAGAGAAAGTCTGACCCCCTACTGTGCTAACAGCCTTTGAATGTGATTTAGCCACTGGGAGATTGAAAACTAACTGCAAACTGGTACTGACTTGAAAAGAAGTGGCATTTGGAACCAGCATACATTCAGAAAGAAAATCCAATCTGTATCTAATATTTTGAGGCAGACTCTCTAAGCTCATATTATTTCCCCAAATATTTTCAAAGGAACGAAAGCATGAAAAGCAAAATGCTAATTTATTCTAGCTGAATTACCCTTTGTACAATATGGTGGCAATATAACAAGATTCTATAAAGTCTTGTTCCGGCTGTTCATCACAATAAGCCCTTATGTGATTCTCTGCTTAATACCACTGTACTACATGTATTTTCTGTGCCAATAGACTATACATTTTCATGTTTTTAAACAAAAGTGTATCTACATCTTCTAAATGCTGTGAATTCATCTACATGTTTTTAAATGCAAGCTTTTTCTTCCATGTGTATATATCTTAAATGTTATGATAGATATTTATGATGTGTCAGACTGTTGATCTGTAAAACAAAACATTTTCAAACATTGTAACAGTAAAGTTCTCGTGCAGCTGCTAATACTTTTATATCTCTGTGGGGGTTTCAAAATATTCCTTAATTCAATTCCCATTGTCTGCATAAGAGGACTATAATATAATTAAATCCAGATGTTTTCTATATGTTATTCCAAATATTTGGGCATGCAGTGCATCGGTTCCAAAATGGAACAAAGGACATGATGACCCTCTGAAAAGATATCTACAGAATAAATAGACAAATACTAATAGAATCATTAGTATAGCCATTTCTATGACATTTACAGAGCAATTCTGATAAGCAAATATAAATGAAGTATACAGCATGTTGTACATTACCAGTGGAGGATATTTGATAGCTCTCCACATCCATGAAAATAGCAACTGTTAAATATCCTGTTTACACATCCAGTCTCTCTGTGTACTGGAGTTGTTTCATTCCAGCCTTCAGCAACATCCCCACAAAGGTTTCAATGATTGTTCATCAGGTTGAGAGTAAAAGCAACAGGAACCAGATCAACACAAGTCAAATGACCCTAAACTGATCTGGGTGGTTATAGGGCCATCCTCCAGGCAGAGGGGACATTGTGGAGCCTGTGTCATCCTCATGGGACCTTACCAGACAAAGATGTCCCATGAACACTCCTGTATATGGACAGGCTGTAAGCCTCAGAAATCTGACCTTTGCCATGAGGGGTGAACCTCTTTTCCTTCCCTTTAGGCTATGAATGCTTATTGCCACTGGCTCCTGGTAAACCCTCTGTGGTGCTGAACCTGCGTGAAGTCAGCAATTCATATGAAAGCAGACTTCACATTCCTTTCAGTCTCAAGAAAGGAATACCTGTTGTGGGGTTTAATCACAACTTTGTTTTACTTTTTATTTATTTTTTTTCAATATTTAAAGTATAAAATACAGAGGTATCTTCCTCTTCTCCAACTTTAATATTATGCTCTGGAAAATAATTCTGATTGAATTAGCTACTCTGAGATCAGATTTAATGGGCAGCAAAGCTGAATGGTTCTCTCCTGACATCCTAATGTGTTTTTCAGTGCTAAGGGAACACCAAGTGTCACACAGGCATTGTAAATCATGAGTCTTGCTTGCTTGCTTTCTTGTTCAGCAATCCATTTAATCTTTGTTTAATTAGTCCTAAAGTGGCATCTCCTTATTAATCTTTTAAAAATTAATTCTGAGAGTATAGTAAAGAGGAAAATATTCTCTACAGCTTTTAATTTTCTGGCATCTAAGTAATTGGATGCATAGGTAACTAGGGAAAGACTTAAGTCTTGCTCTTTCTATGTTTACAGATAGGTACCAGAGTTAACATCCTAGTGCAGTGACTATGGTTACTCAACAACTCTCAGCCTTGTGGATTGTTTCTTTCTGTACAAGATACAGCAGAAGTTGTCAGCAGTGGGCTTCACACAGTTTAGCTACATGGAGGATTGGGACTGTCCTAAGGGCTAGAGGCCAGGATATGCAACTCTTTGCACAGCTGCATTCAGATGCTCAGATGACAGACTTTGAAAAAAGCAGAGCAAGGGGAGCTATTGCTTCATTGGAGACTGAAATATACCATAAGGAGAAGCTACACATCTGTAGCTAAGAGCAGAATTTAGTCTAAACAGCATAAGATCAAAATTTAAAAATCCAAAAAAAAACTTCCACCATCGATACCAGTCATAGATGTGTTTTCTACAAAGGACCCAAAAGCCTGAACAGCACATGGCTCATTAACTTTCAATGAGACTAATGCATCTAAATTACCCAGAGAGGTTTGAAAATTCCTCCCTATTACTGAACATTTTTGAAATTCATACTGACTGTTTTAAGAGCTCTGATGGGAGCTGTGCACTTTCAAAGACCTGATCATTTAATATGGAGAACTTTTGATTGCTGAGGTCCTTTATTCTATGTCTGTCTGTCCAGGAAAATATTACCTGCTTTATGAGATTACGGTAAAACTAACAAAAATGTAGTGAGCAACATGGGTTTGACAAGGTAGAGGATCTTTTGAAATATTTTTTGGGGTTTTTTTTTTTCTTTTTTTTTTTTTTTTTTTTTTTTTTTTTTACTTTGTTGAAATAAATGCAGAAGTTCTGGGAAATGACCCTAACATTTGCATTTTCTTCAGTCTTTAAAATTTCACTTTTTGTGTGCAAGTGTTGATACAAACCAGCAAAAGCTAGTAAGTTCCAATAAAGTTTAGCTCTCTTGCCAAAGCTGCATACTTTTAAAAAATGTTGCTGTAGGTGGAATTTCTGCATTTTGTTTCATGTTTTGGCTTTTGTTGGAAGAAATTCCTGGGAACATCATCATATCAAATATGAACTGTTTTTTCTTTCCTGAGTTTAGCATAATCATGGCAGAACTGGAATGTCAATCAGTATTTCTATTTATTTTGGTTTTGTGCCAGTTGAATCTTTCCTTGCAGATGGAGTTCTAAGCTTTTGACTTGCATTTTGCTTAGGGATCTGAAGATCTCTCACAATAGTACAATTTGAGAAGATGTTTGTAGCTCACCTTCCAAAAATTGGAAGCACGCTCAATGGAAACATAGCATGGGGTTATTTAAATAGCAAATAGTACAAGGTTCTTGCTTGGACAGGAGAAATTGTGTAATTTCATACAGGAAAAAAAGAGGAGATGAAGGATTGTTTAATACTGTGATGAAAGAGAGGAAGAGGGCTGTGCTGCACAGCCATGAAGATCACTTTGTAAAAACCATTTTAAGTTAACCTGATTAGGCAGTAGAATAACAGTGTAGCTCTTGTGTAATGAGAGTGAAAGATTCCTGAATGAGAACTCAGCAGATGTAATTTTTTAAGAAAAGAAATTAATTAGAATATTTCCTTACAATTCTTTCTGCACTTATTGACTCAGTAATTTACTGGAGCAGTTGAAACGGATAAGAAAAACATTTTGTGTGTGAAAGTTTTTCTCCCTTCCCCTTTTGTGCCACGAAATTTTATTTCTGTTTGCATTTTCTAGGAAAACACTATTCTGTGAAGTAACAGTATATGAAAAAGCTGGATTTCTTTTGGTCTTCAGTTTAAAAAAATGTCTTAGATTATCCCAAACCCTCAATTACCATGTCTGCCAGAATGAAGAAGTCAAGCTCAGTGGAGAGAAGTGTTATTTTTCTCTGAGTTTACGAGTGAGCACAATAAATGGGAGAGGCACTTTGTTTATTGAAGCAGGGAAACCAGACAAACATGTTACGATTCTCCTAATTTTATCTTATTTTTCAGGATGCTAAGCATTTCTGCCTCTCAGAGTCCTTGTTTTCCTGGGTTACTTAGTCTCAACAAATTTGGACTAGGTAATGTGCCCGAAAGAAATCATCAGTGCTTATCAAAATGAGAAGGGATACAGAAGGTATCCTGATCTTGACTCCTTTTCCCATTAACCACCAGACATTTTTAGCCTTCACGAAATTCATTGTCAATAACTTGAGAGGATGTGATTAGTAGTAAGAGGTTTTAGAAGAAGAAGAAACTTTCACTTGAAATTGAGGAGTGAATCTGAAGCAAACTTGTTAACAGCTTTCAGATTCACATAATGAACAGGCCAAAACAGCATTCAGTCCATGGGAGCCAGCAGCTCCAAAGAAATGTAATATGGTTCTAGCTACTGTGCTGGGCTGCAGTCATCTGGGCCTGTC